GGGGGGGGGAACTTGCCAATTAGTTTGCTGTATAGATAACTTATATATTCTTTACAGCTTAAATACCTTATATTTTAGATACTTGAAAACTATCATTTTCGCTGCATAGAATAAGCATTATAGAATAAACGTGTTTTCCCCGTTTTTCTAAATGATTTTTTACCAATGCTATAATTTCATATTAATTTAGTAAACAAATATAGAAACATGTCCGAGAAAATAATTATAAAATATTTTTTATCTACAATCATGATTTTTAATCTGTAAACTCATATATTTACAATATTCAAAGCTAGACAAGACACCCAACAAAACTGTAAAATTGTTATATTTATGTCGTTTTATGTCGTCATTAAAGCCCTTTTTTGTGGATAAATTGTATTTTAAATTGTCTGTCTGTTTGCTTGTGTTTAATAAGCGCCAAACGGCTGAACCGATCAAGGCCAACTATTATTTAAAGGACCACAGATGAGGATTTTCGGCTTTCAAAGTAAAATCATTTCAATCAACATTTTTTTTATTCTAGAATGAAAACAGAAAATCCGCAAAATCTTACATTTTTTATATTTAAAAAAAGGTTGCATTTTTTAATGAAGGTCTGTTGCGAAAGGAGAAGGGGGTGCGAAAAGGGGGGTGTACGAAGGGGGGGGGGGGTGCGAAAGGGGGGGTTGCGAAGCCCTACGGAAAAGCCTTTTAGTTGAGATAAATGTTGCTCTCCCCTTTCATAAACTAATTGGAAACTGATTTGCATAATTGGCGAGAAAATTCGATACTTTGAAATATTTAAATATTGAACATATGAAAATGTTAAGTATAAACTGTTTAAGATTAAATATATTTGACCAAATAGCTAAAATATATCGGCTGGCAAACTTACGAAAATGTCGTATATTTTGAGATCGTTAATAAACGAAAAGAATCCGTAATGAAAACAAGATAAAAAAAAGAAACGAAGTGTTTTAAAAATAACAGCAATTTTAATCATTTTATTTTTATTTAAAAGGTGAAAAATATTAGGTGTTTATGGTGTTATGGTGTTATTTAAACGTTTCTAAAATATTTTCATAATATCGATACATATTGTTTTATAAATTATATGATCTCAAATATATTTGCACTGAAGGCAGTATTGATTAAAGCTTTTTAATGAAACTTTTTCAGTGAGATTTTAAAGCATTTTTTTATATACGATGCAATTATACTTAATACGTACACCCTTTAATGTAATCGATATATAGGCCGGTTAAAATTCTTTTTTGTAAGAGACATGTGTCACACTTCCATATCTGCAGAACGTAATGGGCAACATCATAAGGGGGGCGACACCCCCCACCCTTGTATTGGACAAAAAATAGCCCCAGCCGAGTTAGGGTTAACAATATGTCTCTGAAGAAGATTGTCTCTGCAGCTGTATGAAAGACAAATGGAAACATTAGTTTTATTCTTTCGATTTAGCCGGACAATTTTATTTATTAGATTTATGCACTTGTACAGGGGCATATATATATTATATAAATTGTAACCCTGTATTGGAGGTTTAAGGGGGGGGGGGAGGGAGGTACTCATCAGAAATGTCCTGAGGGCTCATCAAGTTCTTAACTTCATCTTTTAAGAATGGATACTAAAAACGACTATGTCCTGACATCGAAAAGAAAAAAATATGTCAGATTCAGATTTGACATAAACTACAGGTACATATTTGTAAAAGTAACGGATTAACCAGAACTGTCTAATAACTTTCAACATCTGGATTAAAGAACTTGAAAATCTATTTGTAAGTAAGTAATCCATTCATTTTCTTTAATAATTTGCTAATATTAAGCTTCAGCATCTATTGGAGTTTGGGAGAACAACGGGAATTGTCTGAGCTTGTTTTTGAGATTCTAAGTTGAGCGGGTCGACTTTTACAGGAAAAAGAGTCAAAATCGTAATTTAAGACCAAGTGCGGGTAAACGGTGGGGGTAACCTGGGCAACGCTGGGTTCAAGATAAAAGGCTAAATCAGTTTTACCTTAAAAATATATTTTACAGAAGAAAATATGATTAAATATGATTTTTAAACAAAAACTAATAAATCCTTTGTAGTTTTCTTCTTTTTCTCATAAATACTGGAGCAAAGTTAATATTATTATAAACATAATAAAATTATAAATAATATTCTCATTTGCAAAAAGATTAAAAGGACTGTAAAAATAGGGTTGTTAATCGTAAAAACCATCGATAAACAATCGTTTTTCGTTTTTGAAAACGAACCACTCTTTTAGAACTTATTTAAACAGAAAAGCGATCTTTTTTAAAAACTGTCGTTAACGATCTTTCACGATAGTTAATGATCTTCAGAAATAAAAACGACCTACCTTCGTTAATGAAACGAATATTTTCTTTTTAAATGATCTTTTTCAAAAACGACTTGTTCATTTTTCTTTGTGAAAACGATCCACCCTTATGCATAGCCGGTCTGTCCGTTCCAGAAAATTTCCAGAATTCAAAATTGTTAAAGTAAAAATACGACGATATCTGTGTCGTTGTTTCTCAGATTTATCTTCAAAAAGGATACATCTTTTTATATTGAAGTCACTTAAAATTACTCTCACATAAGGGTGGAACGTTTTCACCTTTTTTGAAGACGATCGTTTTGTTTCAAAAACGACGAAGAAAAAACGAAAAACAACAGGGTCGTTTTTGAAAAAGATTGTTTTAAGAAAAAATATTCGTTTCGTGTATCACTGGTCACTCTGATAATTGACTTTGATTTTTACAATTTTAAGTTTAATTTTCTAATCTAATAATATTTTTTATTCCTGATTTTTGATGTGTATGTATCTTGATACATTAACTGCCATCGGTAGTAGAACCCAATCTTTCTGTTAAGTCATGTTATATTTTGTATTAACAACCTGTTAAAACCGAATCACAGGCTGGAAGCCTGGAATACTTTATAAACAGAAGACAGAGACAAATTTTATAAAGAAGGCATTTAGGCAGCAGATGAAAAGAATTGTGACATGAAATGGGAAACTGAAACCCAATTTTTGACTTATATCAACTAAATAACGTTACACAGACAATTAAAGTGTGTTTCTTAAAGGGAGAGTTCGCGAACATTGAAATGGGGTGTAATACGCTTACGTCGAAAAATATTCGACGGTGATTTCTACTAATCTTACTTCTATCTTACAAGGCGAAAATTGTTGAAAACGACTTACACAGATAATTTATTGAATTGATTCGGAAAATTTCCATATTTGACACAGATCGTAAAAAGATCATTCAGATATTACAACCTGTAATGATCGATTTTTTTTTCCGACGCATTCGTATAAAGTGGATATTTCATAATATATTTTATTTGTTTTATATACAATGCAATTTAAACGACTCATTTCATTTTTTTAGGAAATAAAGAGTTTTCTGCATTATCGATTTTGATTTGAGGGTTATTCCGTTGTCTATCTGTTCATCGTCAGAATCTTGTTCCTATCCGACAACATTTCGATCTACGGACGTGTCAAAGTTTCAAGAAAGCCTCGAGATGAACCCAACTACTCCTCTCTACAAGGATCCACGCGACCTTCCTCCTGAAAACCCTTATCAGGAAGCTCAGAGATGTACAAGAAACAATCCTTGTAGAATGCAAGATTGTACAATATGCCCCACACCCACCAACCATGTTCGCATCTAACCGAGGAGATGGGAACCGATGATCCAATGCCAAACCTTCCAACCTCCTCTGGCCCCCCCCCCTTCCAATCATGCCATCCTAATCCTCACCAATGCTTTTAAAATTGCAATCAAGGAGAATCGAATTCATATTCTGAAGGGCTTATCCAAACAATACCTTCACCAATTGGACACCAATCTGGAGGTCTTCATGTACGATTACTCCAACCTCGAGGCCTGTTATCAAACCGCAAAAAAACATAATCAACTCCCACACCACCATCATAACTGACCCCCCCTCCCCCTCTCAGCACAGCCTCCAACCTCGTGCTAGTTTCAAACCTCCTAAACCAATTACTCATCTACATGAGGATACTCACATTTTCGAGAGCAACCCAACTACTCCTCTACATGAGGATACTCTCACTTTCGAGATGAACCCAATTACTCCTCTTCACAAGGATACTCTCACTTTCGAGATCAACCCAACTACTCCTCTACATGATGATACTCTCACTTTCGAGATAAACCCAACTACTCCTCTACACGAGGACACTCTCACTTTCCAGATGAACCCAACTACTCCTCTACACGAGGATACTCTCACCTTCGAGATGAATTCAACTACTCCTCTCCACGAGGTCAACCTCCTGAAACCCCTCATCAGGAAGTTCAAAGATGTACAAGAAACACTCCCTGCAAACTACCAGGATGCATGATCTGTCAAACCCCTACTAAACCAGGTTCCTCAAATTCACTGGTTCTGTTTAGCTTTGATATATTTATAAAAGACGACATTACTGTTTGTCTATCTTACAATACATAGCAGGCAGTTTCACTTAAACTCCGCACCTCTACAGAGGTGTGGAGACAGTTTCCAAGATGAATTTATCAATATAAAAAAGGTAATAGTTTGTAAACCTTAAATAACCTTTAGATTGTATGCATAAGTGTATGCATATTTATCAAGTTATATATCTTAACTATTTGTATATTTCAGTTATGTGCTGTTTGACAAGTGTTTAGTGTAAATGAGAAGGTTGAAAATAAACATCTATAAAGAAAACTTGCTCATTATATTCATAAGTCTACCCATCGACAAAACTTGTTGTCTGGGTCTTATTGAAAGGAAAACTGAAACTGATTCCTTGCAATACAGGTTCCCCCAACCTATCCTAACCCTCCTATTGAACCAGACCCTCGGTCCAATCCAGGGGTTCCAACCAACCCACTCAAACCTGATCCTCCAACCAATCCTAACCCTACTACCAATCCAGCTCATCCGATTGAACCTGACCCTCTCGCCAAGCCAGCCTGACCCATCGATCCTGATCCCCAGCCTCACCTCGGACTCCACAGAAGCGAGGAATCTAGCTCCAGCTCCGAGTTCCAGACCAGAGCCTGCTCAGGATGAATTCCACACAGATCACACCGAAACCGAGCAACTGAATTGCATTCTAAGCTCAAACTAGAACTCCACCCATGATCGAACACAGGACTACATTTTTTTAAAAATAAATTTTTTAATCTTATAAACGCACAAACTCAGCTTTCTGAATCTTCCCCCAAAAAAAATAAAATTAACATTTCCTGACCTTTCATGCAAATTTTTCCCAAAATAAACCAATGTTTCATGAATTTTACGCAAGTTCACACATTTCTATATCAAGATTAAATTATTCAATTCAATTTTAAGAAAAATAAATTTTTTCCTCTTTCCGAGTTTTAATTCCTTTGATTTTAAATTTGTTTGATTCAATTTATGATTGTGACCCACTGGAATCTCAGTTCGACCGCTTTCATCAGGCAACAAGGAGATCACAACAAACTGTTACTTTTATTTGTGAATTAAGCAAAACATTTGCAACTCAACGCAGGAATCAATTATTCGAACATTTCAATTTTTATAGAACACAAAACAGGAAACAATTTAACTCAAATTTCTTCATATTCCTTAGAGTAATTAGACCTTAAATTCATGATTCTTGTCATTGACACAACTATTCACATTTCTGTATTTAATTGAATAATGGTATTTTCTAGTTTAATTATTCCTTTTATTTTGGCTCTTTCATTTAATTTATATTCAAGATTTCAGCCCGTTCTCAGTTTATTCATTTATTTCATTTCTATTATTATTCTTTCCTTTAAATTATTTAACAAATAAGCACAGAAGAATGTGCGTCATGATTTCAATTTTACTTCCTTGTTTAATCTCATCAATTATTATTTGTTGAATGCTGCATTAATTAATGCACCTCCTAGTTACTTCTGTTTATTGCAATCAATCAATCTAGCACCTATCAATCATTCAAACTATATGTTTCAGTATATTGTTAATGGTTTTCCTTTGATTCTTGTATGTTACCCTAACATCCTCGAACCCTGCCTGGGGCCAGTGTCAACCATTAACTATAAGACCCCCCCGCCTATCCATGTAATGTTGTCTTTAAACCTGCAAAACCTAGAGTTTCCTAAACCTACAAAACCTAGAGTTTCCTAAACCTGCAAAGCCTACTAAACCTAGAGTTTCCATCCATGTAATGTCGTCTTTAACCTAAAATCACCTCTCAGAGACACCAAACCAAACAATTCTCTTTGTTCTCCGACAACGGAGTCTAAACACGTTTATTAATTGTGAACCCATTTCAAAAGTTAACCAAAGAATATTTCATATAAAGAATTAGTGACTTTCGTCAACAATTAATTGTCATTCTTTTCAGAAGTTTTAATATATAAAAACGTCTTAAGACTCCCCAACAGTTTAACCTTCTCATCCCCAATTAGATCGTAAGAATCTTTTCATTATAAAATTTGTAAACCATTGTAATAATTATTTATCATTATACATTTCATTTTTAGGAAATAAAGAGTTTTCTGCATTATCGATTTTGATTTGAGGGTTATTCCGTTGTCTATCTGTTCATCGTCAGAATCTTGTTCCTACCCGACAACAATTGTATATGACGTAAGCCTATCCTTACATTTTTCCCTTTAAGTTGTTGAATAATTTAATGTTATAACATTTCCTAGATTGCAAGATCTTATCCAACCTAAAAAGTGTATACAGTGATAACCAGAAAACTCTGAAATTGGAAGACGACCTTATAGGAATATCCATATATCTTTGCAACCGAATGTCATAGATCTTAGATATTTCAAACTGTGAATTCTGTTAGATCAAATAAACTAGTTTTTAAATATCAAAGGTTTACACCATCAGATTGCAAAGATAGATATTAGAAAATTTAAGTTTTTTACCTCTCTCCTGTTTTTAGCATTTTCATTCTCTCTTCATGACTGAGGCGAACAGGACCAAGATATGCATAGCTGTTTAGTTCAACCTAAACAGGACCAAGATATGCATAGCTGTTTAGTTCAACCTAAACAGGACCAAGATATGCATAGCTGTTTAGTTCGAGCTAAAGGGTTTTCTTATAATAGACATATACATTACCAGGTATCCAGATTGGGCCTTTATTTTCTAACCCTCTCCTGATTGTTGCAAAAAAAAATTGTAATTACTTCTGATAATTACCTCTTTGTGTACATTGAGCAAAGATGAATGTTTTTGTGATAAGTGTTCAACAATTTGAGATAATTTTGTGACACTTATCCAGTCCATCTTTTGGTCTTTTCTACACAAAAAAAATATTAGTTAATTCATATAAATTTCGCTAGATGGGGGTTATTCATTTGGCGTACCGTCCCGGTTTGCCTTAAATAATCTGTAATTGTACTGTACCAGCTTGATTTAGCTTAAAAGTGAGCCCGGTACTTTAACCGGAGTTAATAATAAATTGTTCAAAAGACATTTTTATTATTTTAAAAACTGGTTGTCCCAATTTTTCATTAACGATGATTTTTTGTTATTAAAAACAGTTTGTCACAATTTTTCAATGATGATTTTTTTTATTAAAAACTGTTTGTCCCAATTTTTCAGTAATGATGATTTTTTATTAAACCGTTTCCTTGGGAAAATGTAATGTTTTTTTCCTGCATTATTAAATTTACAAATTATCATAGAAGATTAAAGTTATTATTTTATTTCCATGTTTATTGGGACACCCTGTGGTGGAATTAACAAACTAAAACTGACTTTATTCCGCAGATCAGAGATTCAGCTTGTTTAACCTCTACAGAATAATCAACCTAAAAATGATTTAAAATAAAAAAATGTTATTTGAACCCAATAACAGGGATAACCAGAAAAGTTGACTTTTAAACTCAAATTATGTCTTTTAAAAGTCCAATGAACATCAGACACAGCAATTGTGCAGTGTAAACCGACCCATTTCAAGTGATTTAATAACTTCCATTGTAACTTATAGAAATAGATTTAAAGTGTACCACTGTGAACCAGACATGCCACGTAGATTTTTTAGCCATTTTTCTTAGATACTTTTTTTGCCGGCATATACATTTTGAATGAAAAGTTTCAAACAAACAAATCCGTAAGTTTAAAAATTTTATAATTTTAGACCAAAACGCATATAATTTCAAATAGAAGAAATCGAATGTCTTAGTCCTGAGTGATGCTACTCTATAAATGGTGCGTCATTGGAATTAATTCAATCAAAGACTTTGCTAATTAAAGATAGCGCATCAGAAAATCTACGCAAATTTGACGCATTTTCTCGGGTTACCATAGATAGTAAGTAATGTCGTCTTCTCCAGAAATCCGGTATATATTTACCCTGTTGACGTTTCATAATGTCGTCTTTTGTAATGAATAGATATTTAAAAGGAAAACAAGGAAACCACTTTAGTTTATCTATTATGAAATATTTAATTTGTCCCTAGTGTACCGTTGTTTTTAGAACCTTTAATGGGTTGGTAACTTGAAATTACAACCATAATCAGTCCCTGAGAACATTTACTTTTGGTTTGAAGTATTAATTGTTTATAAAAAAAAAAACCTACAAGATCTTGGTATTTAAATTTCAACCATACACCAATCAAGTCTTATATCTTTTATGCAATTGTAACCTTGTACTTTTTAACAGTAATCAATTATCTCATTTTTTTCATTTAAGAAGGAATTCTCTCTCCACCTAATTTAAATGAATTACTAAATTAACGTCGTAATATTTATTATACTATAAATTACTTTTAAAATCAGAGGGTTTGAAATGTTTTTCACATACTCTTGGATCTTTTACTGTGATATACTCTTGATTTAAATGAAGGGCCTTCAGCCACAATTTTTTTCTTGCTGGAAATCTAAACCGTGATCCTCATACTCTTGGATTGCAGCTCTGTATTATACATGTTGGAGCTTTGATTGGCACTGACAGACCTGAATTTATCAGAATTATTCAAAGAATTTGTAAACATAAAACTATGGACTTTGAAAATGCTGACATAATTTATAATTAGACAATCTACTTGTTATCTGCTCAAAAGAGGTATTTTAACGTTCATTAAACTATTTAATCGTAAATTGAGTCTATAAGTCGTCTTCGTATTCCTTAGGTTTTTTTTTTATTTATTTTTTTCCGTCTTTAAACTACTACTCCAATAATTAATGCCTCAAAACTATTGTAATCAATTTTAAAAGACTTCTAAGAAACAGGTCGTCCTTTAATTTGCATTTTTAAAGAAACTTTTTGTGATATATTTTCTTTAATGGTATTATTTTTTAAACAAAATCCCCATAAATCAATTAAAGAATAAGATTAACACATTAATTTATGCAATATTTTTTCTTTGCCTAAGATTAAACAGAAGACGACATTTACACCAAATTTATTTACCGTTTATAATATTGGACATTTCGGGTCCCCTCTCTTCTTCATCGCCTAAAATTCCATTCCATAGTACCTCAGAAAAAATATTTGACGACATCTGAAAATTTTCACAAACAATTATCGGCTATTTTTGATACAAAATAGATGCGTAACTTTATCACAATTTCAGCTATAATTCACCAGATGATCCTCAAATCCAACAAATGATTAAATAGATTTTAAAAAAGATTTTAATATCATTAATTTTAGATCAAATTTAGCACAAAACATTCACAATTGCGTTAAATATCTAAGGTTTTAATGTCGATCGTTCGACTCTCAAGCAACCAAAATAACCAATGACGTCAAGATACAGCTGTACTGGCGTACACAATAGTCGGAGAAATTTCCAACGCCTTGTCTTTATAATTAGCCAAGTCTTTGAATTCATCAGTATCCTTTAGAAACATTCGTCATTACGTTGTTTAAAGTTTAAACATTTCTTTAACTTATTATAAAAGTGTAAATTGTTGACTTTACCTCGGGTTTTGACGAATCTGAAAGTATTCTCTGCAGGGTCTGGAGAAACATCACATTGTTATGTATATTTATGATGTGATTATCAAAGGGACTGTAAGCGTAATTTTAAAAGTACAGGGTTTCTAATGCGCAATTGCGCAATAATAGCGCAAAACCTGCTCCGTAGCTTCTAATTTATCTGTATACATTTTGCAAAACATTGCGCTAAAACTTACCGCATGGCTAACCATAACTAGGGATGTTAATGCCATCTTTGCATACAGGGTCAATTGAAATTATGCTTACAGTTGCTTTGCTTTAAGTTATTATCGCTTCAGAGCACAGAGCCAAAAACTAAACGACAAAATAAAATGAATTTTGCCTTTTTGAAGTAAAATTCAGTATAAAATATCTATTCCTGAAACTATTTTTAAATTTGCGACTTTGTTCAATGATTCGTATATTTTGTGTAAATTGCAAAAAAAAACCCTTTTTTTAAAACCAGTTAAAATCAGATCTCAAAATATTTTTGTGAAATAAAGAGAAAAAACACCATTTTATTTTTATTTTCATTTTTTGATTTATTAAATAAATCATTTGTAAACAATTTAAATCGTGATGTTCCATTTCAGCTTGCTCAAACATCTCTTCAACTTTAGCTCGATCATCAACTTTAGCATCTTCAGTGTTTTCTTCTTTTACAAGTTGAGAATTTTTTACTTTTTTCACCTTTTTTTGGTCTTTTATTGTTGTTTTTTTATCAATATCTTTATCTTTTTCCCGCATTTTATTTTCTTTCATTTTGGTTTTAATGTCAAAGGCTGAAAAATGATTTTTTCCTTCAGTGTAAACTGTACTTTTATAAGAAATCTTATCTTATATTGTACAGGGTTACCCACAAAGGACTTAACGCGTTCTTATTATCAAGAACTTGTTTTAGGTTGGGAGCGCATTTTAAATCAGGAATGTGTTCTCTAAATCCTCTAGAAATATAGTTAAAGATTTTTTTATTTAATCATCTGACCCCCCTCCCCTCCCCCACTTTAAACCCGCCATCCCCTCCCCTTCCCCCGGTCGATGCTAAACTGACAAGACTCAAAATACACAGCAGGTTCCAGTTTAACTTCTTATAATCGTACATATTAAGGATGTTAGCACTCCCGCTCCCGCCCCTCCCCCCGCTCTCACAAAATTATTCATCGCTCAGCTCAGAACTAAATTTAAAATATATAATTTAAAGTATTATTTACGGCCATGAGGAACTTTTTATTAAAAAATCGTAATTTTTTTACTGTTTAACCAATTGTTCGTTACTAAGAACGGAACGGGGGATGGACACGTTCTTGATTAAGAACAGAACAAGAGGGATGCAACCGTTCTTCAACTAAGAACGCCAAGAACGGAACGGAACGGGGAGACCGTTCTTTTACTCAGAACGGAACGGAACGAGAACGGAATGATAAAAAAGAGGAACGAGAACGGAACGATTTAGCTGAAGTCCCTCGTTCTAGAAAGGAATGGAACGATTTCAAAAAAGTCGGAACGTGCCCAGCCCTACCTTTCGTTGTCATGTCAATATAAAGGGCATTTAAAGACAATATTCAAGGCAGCTGTGACGTAATTTAACCTTGTAATTCAAGTCGTCTTGTAATCTCTGTTTGTCTGTTTGTGTGTATGTTCGATCATAACTCATGAACAATTTACTGGAGAGATTGGCTAAACATTTTTAATTTGTGAATTCGGTAGATCCCGTGAGTTTAGTTTTAAACATATTAAGTTTATCAATTGTTGACTTTCACAGAAAAACTAAAATCTAGGCAAAACCGGGTTCCCAAGCTATAGTGTGAATATGATTTATATATTATAACATAACTTCGTGTTTGAAGGAAACGAAACAAACTGTTCATCTTTCATTATACCAGTGTTGAGTAGAAGGAGTAATCAAACAAAACTTGAAAACTTCTCAAAACTATAATTATGCTGAAAAGTCAGATGTGTAAAGACGACATTATTTAGAATATTCCATACAGCTCAAATTGATATTTGTGAAATGATTTGAACATTTTACATAAATTCTAAAAAAGACAGCCTGGTATTGTCAAAATATAAATATACATATGTATAGAGTAATTCTTTTTTTAATGAAATGTGAAGTATAAAAGCTGAAAAATATATACAGTGTGTCCCACATCAAATTAAACCGCGTCAATGGGTCTAAATTACGATTTGGGGGACAAATCAAAAAATTTAAGAAGAATGAATCATTTTGAAAAATTTAACAAGGCTAATAGGAATTTTTTCTTGCAGAAAATGCTAGATTTTTCGAGTATTATATGTGTATTTTGGCGTTAAAGAT